CCGTGCCACCCAGGACGCCCCAGGAGTATCTGAAGCGCGTCCAGTGAGTGGCGAGGCGGACGGGCCGGGGCCGAGCCCGTCACCCCCGCGAGAGCAGCGCGGCAGCCGGTGCTGCGCGGGCCGGGCTTCGTGTCGGGGCGCGCCAGGGCGGCCGTGCGGTGCTGCCCTTCGCCGGCATAAATCGGCGTTTTACACACCTGCAGGAGGGGCAGGCACCGGTCTCTTCCCTCTCATGACCGGCGACAAAACTCGAGGAAACGACATGAAGTGGTGTCAGGGGAGGTTTAGGCTGATAACAGGAAAATGTTCTTCACCCAGATGGTGGCTGAGCACTGGAACAGGCTCCCCAGGGTATCGGTCACAGAACCAGATCTGACAGAGTTCGAAAAACATTTGGACAGCGCCCTCGGGCACAGGGTGTGATTTCTGGGCTGTCCTGCACGGAGTTGGTCTCAATGATCTCGATTGGGCTCTCCATGATTTTATGAGTATTTCAAAGACATCCGATATATATCAACCTGTTACAGGAAAGAATAAATGCGGCCCACTTGATTTTATTTTGTAGGATCGAAGCAGCTCGATGTCCTGATGTGGTCGTGGCACAAATAGATCCCAGGAAATTGAAAAAGAAGCCAACAGTAAACATTTCAGTAAGTTTCAGAGCTTTTACATGTTTTGAGAGGGAAAAAAAAAAAAAGGGGGAAAGATGTTACCATAATGATGTTTGTATCAATTTTGGGGAATCATTGGCATAACTAAATAGCACTGCTAGATTCTAAAAGCATCCACAAAATTTAGTGTCTGTGTTTGAAGAAACCCCTGCTCAACTGCTGGGTAACAGCAGTCTTTCTAACTGATTAAATTTGTAATCCCCATACCATTTGATACACAGCAAACTATTTTACTGCCTGAGGAAAACAGATGTTGCATTAAATTTTACAATTATTTAATCATAAAACTTGCATAAATTTTAGAAGAAAAATATAACCATACCTGACTTTGGGTTTAGGTCTGTATCTCGCATAAGGGTAGTAGGTGCAGCTAAACTTTACTAAAGTTAGCTGAAATTCTAGCACCACTTCTTTCCTTTCTGAAGGAATATTTTTTTGCAACTTTTCCTTACTGTTGAAGCAGATTTTTCTGTCGTTGCATTGTCCTGCCAGCTTTGTTTTTAATCTACTTTCAAATAGTTTGCTTTTCTCGAATGAGAATGATGTAATCTGAGATTTCACTACTAGATTTAGTAAAGAAAGTTTCTAATACTGACATGACCTTGTAACTTCTGTTGCCATTCTCTTCATCTGTCTCATCTGTGTGTAGTGACATTCTTAAACACTTCAATAACTCTTTCATGCTAATCTTTAAAGAGGTTATATCTACTTAACTATCAGACTTAATTTTGTAGATGGTTTTAGGGTTTTCTGTCTTCCTCGATTTACTGTCTTGACAGGTAGAATGCTTAAGATTGATAGTATCTGTCCCAGATAAGGAATCAGCATCCTGCTTTTTATGAGCAGCAAGATTAAAGCAGAACAATTTTTGAAAGGAAGACCTTAAGTAATTCTTTGACAATGTACTTTGAACACTTAGTTTTCCTTCTTGTGTACATATGAGAAGAGTCAAACAAAAGATACTTTGTCTAAACCAAAATCTTAACTCAGCCTTGGATGTGGTCATGAAATTACCTTTCTTAGATGAAGATTTAAAGGATATTGTTTACCCGATAGTAAACATTTACCAATTCTCTTGTTCTTTAGGATTCTTCTTATAAAGCTCTCTTTACATTATAATTATTGCCAGTGTTTTCTTAGATTTCTGGATGTCAGCCTGCTCCTGAGGGATACTCTCCAACACTCAAGTGGCAGCAGCAGCAAGTGGCAAATTTCTCAGCTGTTCGTCAGGTACAACATCTGTGAGGGGTCTTGCACAGTCTAGATAGAACATACCTGTGCTTTACAGTGGGTAACTTTATATCTAGTATTGAAATATTATGATTTTGTATCAGGATAGATGTTTCTAGATAGTGTTTTAAGTTATTGAAAGCTAATTGAGCATATACTATGTGGCTTTTAAACATCTGATAAAAATCTTGAGAGTCATGTTTAAGAAATTCTTCAACTAAAGTATATCAGTATTTAGATTAAATGATATGGCTTTGTTGAGGAAGGACAAGAACCCCTATGATGTTATGCAGTTATATTAAAACATAGTGCTGGCAGGAAATGTTCTGCAGGACTTGAAATTAACTAAGAACCAAGTGGATTCTGACCCATCAGGAGATTCATAAAGTCCATTCATACAGTCCATTTAGGAACCTCTTTACAGAGATGGCAACCCATTTTGAGCAGATATACTGATTTGGTAAAACATTTTTAAGGCTGTAGAATTAGCATAGACTTTAATCTTTCCCAATACATTTGCACCCTGCTCGAAATAACAAAAGAACAGAAAATTAAGCAGTCTCAAAGGGTAAAGGTTCTCCATTCAGTTAAATTTTACTAAAGTTTTAAGGTGAAGGAGGGTTGATTTAGATTAGATATAAGGAGGTGTTTTTTTACAATGAGGATGGTGGAACACTAGCACAGGTTGCCCAGAGAGGAGTGGATGCCCCATCCCTCAAAACACTAAAGGACAGATCGGATGTGGCTCTCAGCCTGATCTAGCTGAAGATGTCCCTGCCCATGAAGAAGGGGTTGGACTAGATGGCCTGTGAAGGTCCCTTCCAATCCAAATCTTTCTATGATTCTACTGTTCTCTATGCACCGTTCAAACAGGGTGAAATGGAAAATATAATAAAGATGTAGGTAGAGGTTATTTGTGACTCCCATGCTGCAAAGAGCATGTTTACAGTGCATTGATGCTGCACTGTAGGAGTACCTCAAGTACTGAGGTGTGACCAGCTAGGAGCTGCTCTAGAACAGAGCTCTGCATGAGCTCACGTACCATTTTTTCTTCAGGGAGGAAAATGTAGTGAAGGAGAGGAGATCTGTACTACTGCATCTACATTGTAAACAGTAATTGAGGTAACCCTGTTTCTGCAAGGGCTGACATTGCATCCTGTTTATTAGGCATAATCTAAGGGTTTAGCAGAACTAAGGAGACTGACATCTAAAGGCTTATTCACTGTATAGGTATTTATTTTATGCTCAAATCAATTGTCTTCTCATCTGTGCCAAAATAAACACTGTGAAATATGAGACTATCCTAAAAAGTATTTAAAACCAAAAAAGAGCATCACACACACAGAATCACTAGGTTAGAAGAGACCTTCAAGATCATTGAGTCCAACCCATGCCCTAACACGTCAACTAAACAATGGCACTGAGTGCCACATCCAGTCTTTTTTAAACACATCCAGGGATGGAGATTCTACCACCTCCCCAGGCAGATAATTCCAATACTTTATCAACCTTTCTGTAAAACACTTTGTCCTAATATCCACTCCATCAGAATTCACCTGTTCAACCACTGCATCAGCTGCTGTTACTTAGAGCATTTTTTAGTGGTCTTTTATACAGCTACAGTAACAACTGGAGTGGGAGACAGATTTCTTCTGCTACGTAACATTTACAGCTCTCTACAAGGAACTGTTAAGCAGTTTGTCTTGCATAGGATTCCTGTCAGGTGGAAGAAATTTGCTAAGAAACCACACTTGCCTTCTTTCAAACAATACTGTAGACTTCTGATACAGATAGAGACCACTGTTGGAAACAGGGTATTTGCTTTATGTGTGCTTTTGTTTTAAATCAAAGTGGTTTTTTTTCTTAAGATTCTAACAAGAAAAGTCTAGAAGACTTAAAGCTTACTACCTCAGCTTAACCTTATGTAATAGACTTCAAAATGCCTTCAGCTTTAACATTATTTCCAAAAACCCAGCATGAGCATTGTAATTACATTTCTGCTAAGAGGCATGGGAAATATTTAGCCAGTTGTGCTGGCTATATATCTACTGATTTATAGAAAGTCATAAAATATACTTTTCATACATTTTAAGAATAATGAAGAGACCTTGTGACTAGGATAAAATAACCTCAGTTTTAAACTGGGATTTGACTTCTTTTTAATCACTCAGAGCCTGAACAAGCACAGGAATCACTGGCGGTCACAACATTTGGACAGCAATGTTACTATGGTGAGTAGAATTCATAACAGCATTCTGTGGTTTGTTTTCCCAGTTATTGAATCCACAGTTAATCTTGCTTTATAGTTGCATGCAACAATTTATGAGTATTATTGAGTCTCTTCTCCAGTGTCTTCAAGATAACAGTATTACACGGTTTTCATTTATTTTAATTTACTTCAGCCAAAGTCTGAGGATGAAGAAGGCTGGAAGAAGTTCTGCCTCGGTGAAAGAGTATACTCAGAAATAGATGCACTATCTGATAATGAAAATTTAGGAATTGATTACACAAAGGTGAGTATAGGACTTCTATTTAATTTTCAGCAGCTGTTTTCTAGACTAACTGCCAAAAACAATCCTACTGTTTATTACCACTTTGTGCCAAACAGAAACTAGGCTCTGGTGAGCCCAGAAAGTCCCGGTGTCCATTCTTTTTATGCAGAAACTAAGTGAAAGAGAAAATAAGCCTATGTCTTCAGTGGATAATGTGTGTTTTTACAGAGTTCATTCATCTCTTTTCAGCTAAAGTAATTTCTTTGTTTTCACCAAACAGAATGGAAGCTTTCTTCATAGTCTGCCTTAGTGTTTTGTTGCATAGTGATATGTGGTTACCCTCCTCATATGTCTGATGTTACTGATATATTGTAGGATACCCTACAAACATGTTCTTTACTGCATAATTTTGAAAATCAAGACCTGAACAAGTAACAGTAGAAGCAAGGTGCTCTGATACTTCATTGGACCTTCAACTTTCTTGAAGATACTTTCTTAATAAATTTCAAAGCTCAGAACAGACTTTCAAATCACTACAGTTGTCTGAACATCAAATTAAAATCTTAGTATGTTATAAATAAAACAAAAATGTTTGTGATAATGTTTGCAATTTCCAACTTTTTTTCAGGTGGGCTTTCCCCCTTTGCTAAGTATTGTAAGCAGGATGAATCAGGTAGGCCTACCTTTTAGAATCATATAGTGACATTGCCTAAATCATTATTTCTCATGTTCTGCTGCAGAAGGCTTATTTATTTTTCTTTGCCCAGAGTAAGCCAGTTGTTTATTACAAATTCTGTTCATTGTACACTCAGAAAGAAAATAAATATTTGTTATCTCACATTCAGCTACAAATAACTTCACAAGCAATGATTTTTCATGACTAGTTCTGAAAGTATCTTTTTGTTGTAGTTTCTCTGTAGCACATTTAATGTTTGAATTTTTGCTGAATATCCCAATAGGTGGTTTACAATGGTTTTAGATTTCTCATTTAAAGTGCAGTTCTTCAGTTTGCTTGTGAACTTCTATGTACACTGCAAGGCTAGAAGAATCACACTTACCTTTCCTTTACTACATTTCCCACTTGCCATCGTTATATACAACCAACCAACCAGTCAGTGTGATGCCTCTTTCCTAATCTATAGGTACTTATCCATAACTTTTCATTAATATAGAAAATTATTCTATATTAATATATATATTATATTCTTCGTTTCCTACAAAGTTCTTTCCAAAAAGTGGTACTTTAACACTTACTTTACCCTTACATGTAACTTCAACCTGGAATAAATACTGTGGAGTAGAAGTACTTTTTATATAATCCTTCAGGTAGAAGAGCAGCAAAATGAAATATTGCAGATACTATATTATACTCTTTCTGTTCCTCTTTTGAAGGCAACAGTAACCAGTGTCTTAGAATACCTGATAAGCTGGTTTGGAGAGAAAAAATTTACTCCAGAACTGGTAATTTTTAATTTATTTTAACTACTTGCACAGTAATGCGTCAAACAAAGAATAAATTGCTTGAAGTTTTCTATTAAATTACTTTCATTTTCTAAAGAATTCTCTAAATGGTTGAATCGTATTGTTACTTTCAAAACTTTCTTGATTAGACACTAAAATGAGTATTCACAGTTGATTTTGGAAGGCTAAAATCATAAAACATAACAGATACAGACAGAAAAGGTACTGCCAAACTCCCTCCCATTTGTATCACTCACCCCACTAACTTTAGCCAGGAGGCTTAATGAGTTTCAAGATTTAGGAGAGGAGAGAGACCACAGCAACTTTGGTTCTGTCAGGGTGCTGCACACTCTTTTATCAACACCTCCAATTTAGTTTGGAGTCACTTTACAGTGTGCTGGTGAAGACACATCTAATCTTTCCACATGCAGCACAGAACAGAAAGTTTAGCTGCATTCATCTGGTGACAAATCAAATCTACTAAGAACTCCTGATTGACAGGCTGCATTGGCATGGAGTTTGGCCACAACTAGACTGACCAGCTATGTAATGGCACCGTATCTACAGAAGACCTTGGTGGTCTTCTCATCTCCTTCAGGATGACAAAATAAAAGAGTAATGAAAAATTCTATAATTCTTAGCATAGTTTCACTATTTTTTTTTTCAGCCACTTAAAGACCTTTAATTTTCTGTCTTTTCCTGTAGAAGAAAGACTGTTTTCTTTTTAACCAGTATGTATGTTGCAGAGAATGTGCACACTGACTTTTAGGTTAGGTCCCAGAATGAAAGCCAGTAGACACTGTGATTAAATTAAGAAGTTAGACTGGTACCAGAAATTAAGTTTGTAAGAAAGTAGTAGAATTCAGGGATGCAAAACTCAAAGGACATACTTTCATAGTGGTGCAAATCTTAAAGCAGATCTAACCACTAATTCCATGAGGATCTGAGTTCCTACATTCAGTCTTCAGGAATGCTTTTTCACAGATTTTGAAGTTAAAAATTAATAGCCAAGTAATAATATTTAGATATTACTAAAATATTCCTTCCTTCAGACTATAATAGCATCAGCTGTAATAATTTGTATCTTGGCCAGCATTCAAAAAAATGCCAGGAAACCAAGCAGTAGTGCTCACAAGAACCTTTATCTAGAGACACAGAACTAGAGACTCTACCATGTAGGGTCAAATGTGGTTTTCAAAATTCAATTATGGTATATAGCAGTTGAATGCAGTTTTGTTTTGAGATCGACAATTGAGTCCTGCTCTATATAACATGAATTGTTTGGATCGCCAAGGAAATTATCAGAATTAAAACTCTGTTATTTGAATCCTGACAGGGTAGATGGCTTTATGCACTGCTGGCATGCCTTGAAAAACCTTTGCTACCTGAAGCTCACTCCCTTATTCGACAGCTGGCAAGACGATGTTCAGAAGTCAGGGCACTGGAGGTAAGATTTAATATAACTGTGCAGAGGACTTGGTGAATTTAGCAGGTAAGGAGGATCACTTTTCAGAAGTCTTAGTAATTTATTTTTCATGTCCTAAGTTGGCTTGAGAATGAAGGGAAGACTACAAATGCACATAACATGGCATGTAACAGCTTCTCTATTTGACACAGGTAACAAAAGAATTGTTGTAATATTTATGTCTTTTCCAGGAGAGCAAGAATGAAGAACAAATATCAGCTCTGAACTTGATAATCTGCTTAGTTAGCAGGTAACGCAACTTAGACACCTAAACCAGTAATGTATGTCCAGCATAAATATGTGGTTATTTGTACTGACCTAAATACTTTTAAAAGTGAAAGTCACTAAAAGTACCCTGGGCCAATGCAGCAACTATACTTAACTAAAAGGATTTAAGATATATGTAAGAGTAAAGTAAGTTTATTCCTTTCTTCAGATGAGCCCCCTGAACCATGAAGCCATAATTATGATAGCAACACTAAAAGATGAGTGAGAAAAAGCAGTGGGTCAGACAACATGAAGAAGTAAGGAATATGTTGCATTGATGGTTTCTTACCATATTCTGCTTCATTCCTAGGTACTTCAATCAACGTGACCTGGCTGACGAGTCGTCCTAGGGTGTTGTGGGAGCATGCAGTATTTTGCATTGCCACAGTACAAACAGCACTATCAGAGTTAACAGCGAGACACTGCACGGTTCAGACCTGAAGTATTACACAATCCCTTCAGAACACCCTCACACTAAGGCATTTGGGACAGCTGTGAATAAGTTCAGCTGAATTTTAGCTGAGATTGACGTCTCCAATACCATCATCACCATCATCATAAAGTGGTAACTGAAGTGTTCAGCATCATCTCTCAAGCTCCTGTCTTTGTAAACTACATGCCTGGTTAGAAATTTCTACGATCTGAGTAATCTACAGACACTGCTATTAGGTGACGTCTGAGGTTATAATACAAATTATTATTCTTTTTCTAACAGACTTATTGAGGACTTTTTTAATAAAACTATAGAAATTTAAAGACTGTTCTTAAACACTGGGTTTTCTCATTCCATATCATTTAACAGCAGCCTTACTACAGAAATCTACACAGTTAAGGCTGACTGTGTTTTTTCAAGTTTTGGTGCCTGAGCTCTAGCACTGTTTAGCAGTTCAACTATAGTCAGCATGTTACTGAAACAATTGTTCCAGTAAAATGAAAACATTACTATTTCTTGAGTAGTACATTACAAAAGTAAACCATAGCTAGCAATTAAAAACAATTACATTGAGTTTATGCACAAGGTGGAATAAATTTCCTTCTTTGGCCAGTATAGACGACCCTAGGCATCAATCATTCTGACACAAGGAACAGCTGCTAATTTTAGGGACAAGAGAAAATGCTAAACTATGTAAAAACAAGTTTTCTTCTGCTCCAAACAACATTCCTACAAATGTCTCTACCTAACATCTTTAATGATGTGTGAGCTGTTTGCTCACGTGCTAATGGACTCCATCAAAGAAATACAAAAGCAATCACTGTCCCCCAGTTCAGAGTGAATGGGGAAGGGTAGCACTTGGGCATTCATGTTGGGCAACACAACACACATTAGTTTCTTACTCAAATTTAGTCTTGGTCAGGATTTCTCTCTGTTCTCAAACTCTGCCTCTGGTCTTCCACGCTCTTTTGGTAACTGATATATTTTGCTGAATATGTGAAGTACACAGTTTTTTACCATATGGATATTATTACTTTGGTGTAGAATAAATTTCATACCAAGACACAAGCACAGTGTTATTTCCATGTGCATTTATTATATATTTTGGAATTGTGCTGCACACTGCTATAATTTACATGTTATATACAAGACTGAGCCAAGATATTGAATCCACATACAAAGACTATTTAAAGTAGATACCCAGATTTGAATCTGCTCTACATCTTCTGTATCATCACCTGAAATTTACCTGCAGGAAAAGCAGAGTCAGATCACATTATTACCATTAGAATTATTTCTCCAAGTCATTATTTTCTTGTGTTTTTTTAAAAAAATAAATAGTATGGAACATTTCAGTCTTACAGTTTAATTGTAAGCATCCATTATTTAAATTTAGCATTTAAATTTTAATTCCACACTGAACAGCTTTTCTCTTTTTTTTCTGTAAGTTGACTACCTCCCACAACACGGAAGTTTTGTGAGCTACATCTAAAATTTGTGCTGAGTCTGTGGAAAACTTTCAATTGAGCAGCTTATGTAGTTAAAATGGTCTTCACTTACTAACTTTCTTAATGACTCCTACAGAGAAAGATCTTCACTTGTGCAAATAACTTTCTGGACACACATCCTTACACACTTGATGCTTCTAAATATAAATACAACTTTTTAGTTTTGCTTTACACTCGACATCATGGAGGCTTATCCTCCATCAGTTTCTAAGTACTAAAGGATTTAGTGGCAAACCATACCCTGAAGTTCACATGGACTCCTGTGGCCCAGCAGCTTCAAACAAATTCCACCTTGAAAAATGCTTATAACATCAACACAGTCAGTCAGGAAAGTTACCAAGTGCGCAAATAAAATTGAATACTCCAAGTACTACTTACATGCAGGCATTGATGAAACTTCAGCTGTTACAATACTCTTTATTCCCAGGTTTGATAGGCCCCCTCTGATTAGTCCACAGGTGAATGCTAAATACTAAATACAAAGTTGCACTTCATATGAGTGTCAGCAGCAAAGCTTGTTGATAAAGATTGAAACTAAGTACTCAAGACCACAACTTAATACTTTGACAACAGAAATCCATGGAAGTTTTGACAGACATTGTCAGGTCTCTAATAGATGAAAGCTCCAATATTTGGTAGTGGAGCTCCCCACACAGATTATTCTCATTAGAGGCAGTATTTTGAGTCACTTTCCTTTAAACCTGTAGGAACTTAATATCCTTAAAACTATCATTCCCAAGATTTGGCGAAAATTAGCAACTGGTATTAAAGTCAAAAAAAGAGAAACAGTCTAAGACAGCATTCTTGCACAGGCCATACCTTAGAATACAAAGGCCTGCAGATATTTAAAATGTGTGTTGCAAAAGAGAAGAAACATTTCACCAAAAAAAAAAAAAAAAAAAAAAAAAAGAGTTAAGAAATCATAAAATAGAACTGAATGTCCCATTTCTTAATCCACCTGAACTAAAGTGCTCTATGATAGGTTCTGCAGAGGGACTGATTTTATCTGAACTATTACCGTAACTCAGAATCTGCACTCAAAACTATTCTTAATTGGTGGAAGATCTTTCTGAACATTCATATCATCTCAGAAGCGTGTTTTATGTAACAAATAGCATCTTCCAAATGTGTTTTTGGAATTTTAAAAAATGTTTCTGAAAACACATGCCTTCTGAAAAGAAAGAATTTGTGTGACAGTAGCAAGTAGTAGCAGATAAGCTTTCACCATGAAGTAACTCAAATATAACACCAGCAAGTTTCACAACAACTGCGACCATTTTTTGAACTACAAATCTACTGTTCTAAAACAGGATGCCTTTCTCTAAAAACATACAGGTTCTGAAGGTGTATCTTTAGTTACCCTTTAAAAAAGTTTGTATCTATTTAATGACAAAATTTAAAGTTATTAATAGATCAAGGTAATTAAAACCAAACTGGTAGACCCCCCCCGCCAATTAAATCGAAGGATACCTTTGGTGCATGTTCTAAATACTGCTTTCCTGAAGACATTTGTGTCAAGAGACGAAATTTATTGTCTTGAAGGACATAAATACCCTGTTTAAAAAGAAAAAATTGAGGAGTTTAGTTAAATGTGCAGTAATATAAAATCACATTTTCTGTTAATGGATTTGTAGATAAAATACGTATGATCTCAGGCTGAAAAATAAAATTTTATATTAAGGCTTATGTGATTTAAGTTTAAATTGCATTATTCACTTACAAGGACTAACAAAAGGAAATATACCTTTTTGTTAGTATACAACAAAACCCTTAGATAATAATATGATCAGTTAACCCTAAAAAACGTGTATTTTTCTTCTGTATATTTTGTACATTTCTTCTTGGAAGAGTCCTTCCAGTGATCAGAAAAAATAGTTCCATAGTAGAAAGTCTTTGGTATTATATCAAATGCATACTAATTTTTATATTCAAATCTCAATCTTCATTGGGTTTTGCACATCTCTATTTTCTCAAATTCAGTGGGAATTATTTTTCTTTAACAGCAGCACAGGTAACAGCACCCAGCAGACACTCAAAGTAAAAGTCTGGCATTTTCTACAATACAATTTTGTGCAACAATATGCATCTTAATAAATTAAGTATAAACACAGTATAGCTTTATCTAGACCTGCCATTTTAATTTCCTTGTTACTGACTGTGTTACTTTGGAATTTCATAAGCCTTGAACTTAATTGTATATACATTATATACATAATTGTATATACAATTAAAACCTTAAGCTATATACTGCAACTTTTTTCAATTAAAACCCCAGATTTCCAAAGTAGTAATTATCTATTATTACTTGATAAACATGTCACTGAAAAATAAAATCTATTTTATCTGGCACAATCCTTGTACAAATTCTCTTCTTCCTAATTTGACACAACAGGGAAACAGTCATAAGAAAACCAAGTCATTCAACAGGAAAAAGATTTTTTTACTCTAGTAAAATGGCTCCTTAAGTTACTTTGATCTGGCTTTAAGAACTGTGGATATAGGAAAGGCTATAGGCTGTTGATATAGGAAAGCACATGGATACAGCACATCACCAACATGCAAATCTGAAGTTTCTCTGCTGTTTCTTATACAAGTGTTTTCAACAGATGACAACTGTCTCAACTGCTGAAAACTCTTAACATTCTTCAAAGTAAAAGAATCACTTCATAGCAGCCATTCTATGTAAATAGATGTTGAGAGAGTAGCATCATTTTTTCACTATTTTTTAACTAATACTTATTAAGAGACAGATTAAAAAGTTCTTGTTTAAATGTTAATCAACTATAATCATTAATGTCCTTTCTGTAACACAGCAACAGCGTGTGAAATTCAAAACATTTAGTCTTTTCAAGCAGGGTGGCAATAAAGACATACAATTATTAAATTATATTCTAAAGCTACATGATAATATGAATATTGAAAAACACACTTTTTAAACAAAACAGATATGCAGCATTTTGGGTTTCTTATCTGGTAATTAATTCTAGACCAAGAAAAACAAAAAATGCACTAGCAACTCAAAACTCTCACTGACTTTCTAAATTAAATCTTAATCTACAGTACCTGGTGATTAGTCCTTAGATTATCTATTTGTTTTTTGAATACCGTTGTCCAAAAATCTTTGCAAATAAACTTCATAATATCTAATTCATCCTTGAACCTGGCAGTATCTTTTGTAAACCTAAGAGAAAAGTAAGAAATATATCAACAATGCTGGTACACATAACCTCACCAATTAAGCAAAGAAATAACTTTTTTAAATGGTACAACATAATTTTTAAGGTTTAAATATTACAACATAATTTTTGAGGTTATTATAGAAATTAGTTTTCCAATCATCATACAGTATCATTCTAGCTGCACTGTGCATTCATGAAGTATTTAAGAGCAGCAGTGTTATCTTGGTGTCTGCAATATGACAGCAGAATAAACTGTTTTAATTCCATGATTATCAAACATAGTTGACATACAGAAAGGTGCAAAGTGCTCTATCAGTTTTATCTTCGACGAGCTATCTAAATAGAAGATAAACAAAATGCTCACACCTATACTACTCCTTGGAAGGAGTCCTTCAACTCAGGCAAAAGAGCTGTAACATAGGAACAAGCATGTAAAACTTGTTCCCATTTTTCAGAAGGAACTCTTTCTCTTGCTTATTTCAGATTTTTCTCCCTTTATCCTCCTTGAGGTCTTTATCTGGCACTAAAGGACCATTTTATCCAACAAAACCATGACTTCAGAAACAAAAGATCTTGTCTCCACACGACCTCAGAACGAGGGCACTGGAGTTGCACCGCAGGTCCCCAAAGGGCCCGAGCTGCGAAGTCGCAAGGACAGACAGCACTGTACAAAAACGAAGTAAGAGTAACAGCCAACCATACAATTATGCTTAAGAAGCAAATCAGATAGAAGAATAAAGTCACAAAGCATACCAAAAGCAGGAAACATGCAGAAGTCTGCACAAAGTAGAACTGAAGATAGTTTTAAGAATTAAAAGTAGCCATATACCCTGACTCGGTTTTCATGACGGGAAGCACTAGGAAAACAACACGCTCCAAAACTGTCCCGTGATACGCAAACACGGGTCCCGACAAGAATGAGATACAAAAAGAGGAGATGCCAGAACAATTCATGGTAAGAGGAACGCGCTCTCCCTCCAGCCAAAGCACACTTTTCCCGGGCGGGTGAAAGCCCCAAGAAGGAGCAGCGGCTGCCAGGGCCCGGGGGGACTCACCTCTCGATGAGCCCCTGCCCGACGCGGAAGCCCATGCTCTCCAGCTTGGTGGTGCAGCGCCCGTTCTCCTGCAAGACACAAGGCGCCGCGGCCACAGCGTCAGCCCCGGCCGCTNCGTCCCTCTGCGGGCTGTGCCCGCTCCGCTGGGACGGCGATCGGGGAGTGCTGCCCCTGGCGGGGGGCCACAGAACGGAACGGTTGCGGGGCCGTTGGGCCGGGCGGGCAGCAGCGCCCCGGGGGCCGGGCAGGCACCACTAACACCGCGTACCGTCTCTTTCAGGCCCCCTCAAAACAGGCTGTTAGCCCTCACAGGCCCCGGTGGAGGTAGAGGGCGTGGGAGCTTATTGCTAAGGTAAGGAGGTGCAGAACGGATGGTGGAGTTTCATCCATCCATTCTCCGGCAGTGGTTCGTGCTATTGCGCCGGCTGTCGTGTGTTCCTGGATTGCCTCTGCTGCTCGCTGCGGTGCTGTTTGAATGAGCACCAGAGTTGGCCTGCAGTCTTTTGGGGTTAAATTTAAAGCGCCTTTTCATTTTGAGTTGCTACGAGTTCAGATGGGTGGTTTTCCCCGACCTTCTCAGCTGTTAGACAGAAAAATAAGGAGAAACATCAAAATGAAGAGAGGTATTGTGTGGTAGCTGGGACCTTGTCTTTGAAATCATTCAAGATCAGTCTCTTGGCAATTAAAAAACTGGTAGGTGGTCCAGGAGGGATTTTAAACTACACGTAGATAAAACCACCTCCTGAAAATTACTGGAGACAAGATTATTTGAATACAAAGGGATGCTTGTTTCAGTGTAGCTACTCTGTTAAATAAGTGTAATTCAAGGTGAAATTAGGCAGTTCACAAGCAACGTGTTTGAACACTTCGCTGCAGTACTAACAGTAAGTGGTGATCGAGCTGAGTAAAATTTATGTTTAATCACGACCATAAAGCCAAGTTATAGTTCAGTTTTGCAGACTTGAGGTGGTCCAGGGATTAACCTAACTTGTTCTAAGACCACAAGTGTTTTCTTTTTAGGCGTGGATTCTCGGATAGTGGAGGAGGACCCCCAGCCAAACAGAGGGATCTTGAAGGTGCATCCAGTAGGTGAGTGCAAAAACTAATGCAGCCAACTTGCTTTTCCAGATGAGAATTTAAAATAAACCAAAATCTAGTAATAACTAGGGACTTTCACTGTCTTCTTTGGCGATTACTTACTCAAGACTTGTTGGGAATTATTTGGATGATATCAAATCACTGTGGTGAAATCTTTTCATGCCTTAAGAGTAACATAAAGGTGGTAGCAATAATATAAAGATATGCAAAGATATTTGGAATTTTCTAGTTTTATTTCCCATACAATATACAAAATATATTACGTTCTTAGCAATGACCTTTTTTTTGTAGTGAACACGAATTGAATTATGTCTGAGATCTTCTATTCAGTAAATTGAATACAGGCAATGTGACAATGGACTCGGGTTTTGAGTTTTCACATCTGGATGCAAATCCATCAGATGGATTGATTATAGTGGGCTTAAGTGCAGTGAGCACTTCATGTGCAATGGTAGCTCTTGGCGAAAGCAAAGCTTGCTTTAGAATTGTTGAGTTAGGAGAAAATGAAGCTGAGAAATAGGAAAGTCCTGTGCCACAAAGCTGAAAATGAAGGCTGAAAGTAACTTCAACTTTAATTATTTATTTTAGGATTTCTTTTATTGAAATTATTTATTTTAAGTTGTTTTTTGTTAAAGCCTTTAGTTCATCCATGTCTCAAGTGGTAAACCTGCCTCTCTCCTATAGGTATTTGGTAGGTAACTTAAATAGCATTTCCTGTTTAAGAAATTGTACCTTTCCATGTCAGTGCATTCACTGTTTAGTGATTCACTGTTTAGTGATTCCTTTATACCAGTAGCCATTTTAGAGGTTCTGGAAAAGCACAAAGGTTTAAAAGAATAAATTCCAAATGTATTTTAAAAAGCCAGAAATTGTATTTGCAAATTCTTCTGCTTTTATTACACTACAAGTTGTATTAAAATTTAAACTGTTCTGTGTCACTGATTTTCACCAACGGTAGATTCTGTCTGTAAAATGTTACTTACTTGTTGTTGGAACAGTGAGGAGGTTTATACCGAAGTGTTGGTTCTTCTCACTAGGCATGCTTGTATTTTCCTTATGGTGGAAGAGATTCTCTCCTAAATACATGTTCTCTAATGACCACTGACTTTCTTCCTCAGGCTGGGTGGAGAACGTCGGACAAGAAGAGAATCACGCCAAGAAAGCGACGCAGAGGATGATGATATCAAAAAGGTAATATATAGTAAATGGCACTGCGCAAGAGGAAACCTACCTGCAACATGATGAACAAAGTAGTTTGTTTTCTTTGTTGTAGCCAGCGTTGCCATCTTCTGTTGTTGCTACCTCCAAAGAGCGAACACGTCGAGACCTTATACAAGATCAAAATATGGATGAGAAAGGAAAACAAAGGTACGTGGAATCTCTTTTACAGTAGTGTAATACTTTTGAGTTCAGCTGTAGAAAGCAGCTTTAGATTTAAAAGGCATTGCACACAAGCTGTTGTGTATCAAAGATTATGTTGAAGAGTTACCATGATGGTATAAAATTTAATTTAAAAAGTATTCTCTGAAAATACTTCACAAGCAGCAACATGTGCATTGTTCAGATAACTGACATGATAACTGACACGGATTCTACTTTGCAGGCCACCTACAGGAACAGGTTTGCTAGTGCTGTTCTAACATCGTTTGAGTAAGACAGAAATAGCTGCAGCTTCATTGGTTGCTTAATGTCTTGGATTATTACAGCTGTCTTGGCTGATAGATTATTTTGTTGGTTGAAGGAGGGCTTTGGGTATGGTTCCTCGCTCCCTCTGCCTCTTTTTTTTTAAATGAAATAGTTCCATTATGTTCCTTTTCTCATACTACTTTGAATTCTTGTTGTGTCTACAGCCTTGCCTTCATTTTGCCTTCTGCTTTTTAAATTTTTCCTATGTATATCTCCTTTTTCCTATATTTTATTTTTCTCATGGTTATTAAGATTTTAACTGAAATGTAGCTCTATCAGTAACAGATTTTGGAAAATCAAATTTGCAACTGTGATTCATCTCTTGGACTCTGTCCACTTCAGACTGCAAGTTACCTGGTGCAATAATAATTATACCTCAACAGAAGAATTAGAACTGGAATAAGGAACTCTAGAAAGTTTCTTTGTTAAGTCCCCACAGATTAACTGGCTCAGAAAACTCGCACTTTGCTTGCTTCTTTTAGTTATAACCCCGCTTGGAGTCTGCTCTTGCTTCCATTACTAGGTTCTAATTGCTTCCCTCACAGGGAGACTTCCAAAATTCTTACTGAACTTCCTTAGGGCTTCAGACACTAAAGGCTTGTTCCCTCAGAAAGGTAGTTTTACTGCTTTTCAGTTGAGTAGTCTCTATGGAGATGAGAAAACCAGTATTAGTCTCTGTGAATTGTGGTGGAAGGAGGTTCTTTAAGAAGACAACATCCACTGAACCCCTGATTTTGCTCAGTGTCTTCTGAGATATAATTAATTTACAAATGCACTTTCAGTGCTCTCTGGCCTTCAGTTTTTTATCTGTTCCTGTTTCTACTATTTAATATACTTTTACTTTTCCATGTGAGGCTTGTGCTACTGTAATAGAGTGGTACTTAAAGAAGGCAGTAGCATTTTCTTTCTCACGTAATCAGGTAAAGGTTCAAGGCAAATAAGAGAATCTGCATCATGTGTTAAAAGAATTCATTTGGGATTGACTAAAAAGAAATTGAAGGTGAAAGTCAAGAAACTAGTTCTTGCTCAGAAGAAGGGAATTTGAAGAATTTTACTTGCTTTTCTCAAAATAACACTTAATTGGATGAGAACAGTTCTGGTTTCATCCCACAGTACAGTGTCTCATTGTTGGCCACTGTGATAGATAAGCTTTCACTCCTCTGTGGCTCCATTTCTTCTTAATAATCTAAACAGATTGTGGAGAGGGGAGTGTATGCTTTTTAGAAAACCCAGTTTGCTCCCTTATTTATATCTCACACTGTATTTTCTTGACTATTTTTATTTCAGTACTCTCTGCTTTAAGATTTTTTAAATATTTCCTTACCATTATTGTTTCCAAATGAAAAATGTGCAGGCTTCCACTTCTGCCAGTGCTAGCTATTCTGTTACAGATAAGAGCTGTGTCTTACTTGTAAGCAAAATGATATGTCACTGTAAAATATATCCTGGACAGTTGGCACAGCCAGCATATCTTCTATTGCTTATGGCCTTGGGTATTACTGAGCCTTTAAAATGTATCTTTGCGGTGGAAGTTTCTCTGGTTATTTATACAGATAAAAATCTTAGTACTTCAACTGAATCTCAAATTTCTTTCTGTTGTGGGTTTGTTTTTTTTCAGGAATCGACGTATATTTGGCTTGTTGATGGGCACTCTTCAAAAATTTAAACAGGAGTCCACAGTTGCTATTGCTACTGAGAGGGTACTTACTTTAAATTCTATCAGATAATAATGTAAAATTCTGTGGCTAAGTTACTTCAAGTAAGAATGAAAGTTCCCTACAGCATAGGTGCAGGTGCAGCAAATTGGTGAGAGTGCATGTAGGTTTTTGTTTGTCTTAATGGAGGGAAATGAGAGTGGGAGGCAGGAAAGGGGTTCTTACTATGACTTAGTAACTCTATTTCTGACATTCATGGAAACAAAAAAGCAATGTTAAATGGAATTTGATCAGGTAACTATTTGAGAGTTCATAGGCTATTTCTGGAAACATTAGTGATGCAGTATTGCTGAAGCAGTGCCTACCTGGTGTGTTCCAGATGTTTAATTTATAACCAAGTATACAGAAATCTATGCTTGGTTATGCTACTTGCCAAAAAATGTCTTTCCTGTTCCAGTAAAGATAACCAGAATTTCTGATTTTGATAAATAAATGTCTGATTGTACTGAAGCAAAGGCTTTGCATAGCTTAGTGATGACTTCAAAAAACTTGTATATGGGATGGTGGTAACTTTATTCCTAGTATGCCCATTTAGTTTGTGAAGGCTATTTACTGTTGCACTAAATGGGTTATTCAGTTAACATTAATAACCTTTAGATTAAAAAC